AGTACTCGACTGAACCACCCAGGCACCCCTCCAGGGTGGATTTTATATCTACAGCACATCTCCATTCAGATGCTGAATTTTCATCAGAAATACTTAATTTAGATTCCTAAAATCCACAGTTGAAAACGTAGATTCACACACCCAGGTTGTCCCAAACACACTTCAAAGTTTTCCAGTGATCGCATTGAGTATTTTTTTAAATAGCTTTGTTGAGATGTAAGTGGTTTACAATAAACTGCACATTTTTTTTCCTTTTTAATTTTATTTTTTATTTTTTAAAATTTACATCAAACATACGGAGCCCTTCACGAATTTGTGTGTCATCCTTGCGCAGGGGTGGTGCTAATCTCTGTCGGTTCGTAGGATCGAGCCCGGCATCCAGCTCTGCACTGACAACCTGCTAGGGATTCTCTCCTCCTCTCTCTGTCCCTCCCCTGCTTGCATGCATGCACGCACATGCTCTCTAAACAAACAAACAAACAAACAAGCGAACGAACAAACTTAAAAAAAAAATAAAGTAAGATGAAAAATTCCATCCCTCAATCACACGAGCCACATTTCACATGCTCAGAATACGCATGAGTCCGCTTGATTACCGTTATTACTTGGTTACCGGTCACTTGGTTACCAACAGTCTTCCCGGCCAGGATAAATGCCCCCGAAAGCCCAGGCCTTGTTGGTCATGTTCACTGTGTATCCCCAGGGCTGGCTCATGGGGTGTTCGGATGAGACTAGGGGTGACGGAACATCCCGGCTAAGACTTGAAAGGTTTGTCCAGTGAGTGAGCGAATGGAGACAACGGGCCGATTAGACAGAGAGGGTGTAGGTACATCAGGAAATGTTGATTCAGGACTGAGGCACAGAGGGGCGTTGGCGAGAGTGTGGGCGTGGGCACTGAGCAAAGAAGATGGGGTCCCAGCAGATGTTTCCAGGGTCAGGGTGAGCACATGAGTCTGTTCTTACTCCAGCAGAGGGGCCTCGAAGGGAACTCCTGGGGACAGAATGGTGGGTAGTGGGAGCATGACATGGAGCTTAGAGCCAGACTGCCAGCTCTTGGGTGACAGCACATTTTTGAGCCTCGCCCTGCCTCAATTTTCCTCATCTGTAAAGTGGGGATAATAGCGTTTCCCGTATAGAGTTCCTGAGGGCCTGATGACTTAGTGCGTGGAAGTTGTTTACACGCAATACGTGTTCATCATTATTAAGGAAGGTTAATAATAGGTCGGAACCTAACTGGCAGGTTCAGGTCATTAAGACCTACACGTTGGCTGCCAGTGAAAGTACAGATTTTTGAGGTTCCCTTTCTGTGGCATCTTCCTGTTTGTGAACTTGATGTCTAAAGGTTACCTTGCAGGACTCTCTTCTGTTCTCTCATTCATTCGCCCACCTGTGCATGTGCTCACGTCGCTCTGTGCCTGCCGTGAATTAACCTCACCCACCCTCCCATCTCCCCAGGGCACATTCGCCTCCCAGGTGACACTGGAAGGGGACAAGGTGAAAGTGGAGCGGGAGATTGACGGGGGCCTGGAGACCCTGCGCCTGAAGCTGCCTGCCGTGGTGACCGCCGACCTGCGGCTCAACGAACCTCGCTATGCCACGTTGCCCAACATCATGGTGAGCACTTAGCAGATGGGTCACCGAGGGCCCAAGGATGCATGAGTGCATTGCACGCCCAGGGACTTCTTGTACGAAGGAAGGGATCATCACCCTGCGGAAAGAAAGAGTTTACTGTTCATCTTGGCTTGTAGGATGGGTTCATTGGGTCATTTTAGCCAATAGGGAGAGTTTAGTGTGCCATCTCAGCCAATAGGAAGGGCATCATCTCAGCCAATAGGAAGGGTTCAGTGGATCATCTCAGCCACCAGGGAGAGTTCAGTGGGTCGTCTCAGAAGGGTGGGTTCCGTGGGTCAGATGGGCCGGACTCATTAAGCTAGAAGGTTGAGTTTGCGAGTCCATTTCAGCCCGTGAAGGGCTTCTCAAGACAGCTAACTAAACAGGGACCCTCAGCAGAAGGGCTTCCCAGTAGGTCACGTCTGTCTGGCTAGCGGGGTCCAGAAAAGTTCGGGCGACGGGATTGCTTCTGCAGACATGGCACTCGTGGGTGGGAGGCTGTGGGAGGCTGGGCAGGGCTTCAGCAGCCCTGTGAACTGTCACTGCCCATGTGCAGAAAGCCAAGAAAAAGAAGATTGAGGTCATCAAGCCCGGAGACCTGGGTGTGGACCTTACCTCCAAGCTCTCCGTGGTTAGTGTGGAGGACCCGCCCCAGCGCACGGCCGGCGTCAAGGTGGAGACCACGGAGGACCTGGTGGCCAAGCTGAGGGAGATTGGGCGGATTTGAGCCCCTTCCCTGACACTCAGCAATAAAACTATGACCCTCCCGACGACCGTCTCTGTTAACTCATTCCGTGGAGACCTGTTCTTTGATTCATTCAACAAACATTTACTTAAGTCTCCCGTGTGCCAGGCCCTGTGCTGGGTGACGCCGGGGACCCAGGTGAGTCACATCCAGTCCCTGAGAAGCTTCCATGTTGGGGGGGGGGGTTGGGATGGACGTGGGCAGAGCCAGCTGTAAGCAGAGGTGACACCACACACTGAGGAGCCCACCTGGGGCGTCTGACCTGGAATGTGGGGTCGGAGACTTCCGGTAGATGGCATCCTAGTTGAATTCCTGAAAGATGAAGATCAGTGAGGGGGTGTCACGCTGCAGAGCTTTTGCTGGGAACTCGCAGGTGCCAGGGGCCCGTGGAGACTTGGGGAACAGGAGACAGCAAGCCTGGAAGTTCTGGTTCTGGTTGGGGACACAGAAAACATGTAAGGTGGGGATGAGGAGCCGGGGCCTGGAGTCACACTCTGATTTTATTATTTTATTTTTTTAAAGTGTATTTATTTATTTTTGAGAGAGAGCGCGTGTGCACGTGCCCGGAGGAGGGGCAGAGAGGGAGGGAGAGAATCCCAAGCGGGCTCTGCGCTGTCAGCACGGAGCCCGACGCGGGGCTCAATCCCACGAACCGTGAGATCGTGACCTGAGCCGAAATCAGGAGTCAGATGCTCAACCGACTGAGCCCCCCCAGGCGCCCCCAGACTCAGTGATTTTAGATCCTCCCTCAACTTTCCCAGCTGTGGGATCTTGAGTGAGTTACCTTGCATCTCTGAGTTCCGGTTTCCTCATCCGGCTGATCAAAATAGTAAGAACTTAGTGTAGTGGTTAAGGGCTTGGGGTTTGGATCCTGAGGCCCTGGCAAGTTCCTACTCTCCGAACGCCAATTTCCTCCTCCCTCAGGTGGCGTTAGTAATAATACCCGTGTTCTGGTTGGTTGATGTGGCATAACGAGACACCCCAAAACTCGCTGACTTAAACCACCAATCATTAGTTTGCCCATACATCTGAAAGCTGGGCAGGGCTTGGCAGGAGAGCTCGCCTCTCCTCCACGCGGCGTCAGCTGGGGTCTCAAACGGGGCCCGGGGATACATGTCCGAGATGGCTCAGTCACCTGGCCTGCATGCTGGCTGGCTGGGGTTGTTGGCTTGAGCTGGCTGTCGACCAGGGGCCATGATTCCTTCCCGTGGGCTGCTCGAGCTTCTTCACGGCATGGTGGCTGGCTTCCAGGAGGGAGTGTTCTACGACCCGTGAGGTGGGTTATGCCCGTCTCTGGGCCTCCATGCAGACACTGGCACGGGATCACTTCTGCTGTAGTCTCTTGGTCTGGTAGTAAGAGTCTACCTGGATCCACGGGGAGGGGACATAGACTCCGTAAGGGAGGAATTTGCTGGCATCTTTAAGTTACAAAACTTCCCCCATGAGGTTTTGAGGGAATTAATGTAGCACCTCCAGAACCACACCTAACGCACAGAAAATGCTCACTATGTATTATTACCCTTGTCATTACCATCAGCATGGTGAGAACTCCCTGGGTGAGCTCAGGGGACTGGATGCTGAGCAGAGATCCTGAGCCCAGCATGGGGTTGTAGCTTGCTTTCTTTCTGTTTTCATTGTGTGTTTTTTTTTTTTTTT